TGTCGCTGGCGATTCATTTGCGAGCAAACTGTGTGAGCGATTCGAGCGAAAACAGTACAAGCATCACCTTGAAAGGTGGTTTGTTTGTTGCTGCTTTTTCCTTTGAGTGTATGGATTTGCCATCATCCCCTGCGCTCGCGCGAAGGGAAATTTATAAACAATTAATCAAACCATACTCCGCCACTGAAATTGGAGGCGCCGATGCATTGTAGACAAGCAATAGTGAAGTGGAACATTGTGTTTTCTCCACGGTGTCTAACTGGTCATATACTCGTAGCTCAACGCACATAGCGCGCATAGAGGTGGTAGATTCATTGGTGATCCCCCTGAAAGGCTTCTTGCTTTGAAACATCCACGGAGCTCCCAACTCCAAGCAAAATGGCTGTCAACAGACAGAATGGACCGACGTGTCAACAGTGTGTGGAGTATGTTGCCCTTTGTTTGGGGATTGCTTTGGACACAACGGTATTAGCGGCTGGGCCGTTGGTTTTTCCCGAACTCTGACTGTTCATCCCAGCACCTTCCACGCGGTCTCCAATAGTAATAGACTACCCTGCACAACTTGCAGAGCTCCATTGAGCACCCCTTTGAAGGTCCAGGTCAGGTCGATCTATTTTTGGTGAAATGATGACAGACTGCAAACCGGTACCAGAGTTGACCAGGACTACCAAACGGCCTTCCAAACGGCATGTGGTCGACCTTTCTTTTTGCATGAATAGAGAGAGGCCAATTGGCCACTTCGATCGAAGAACTTGTTTGCTTCGGTGAGGTGTTCCGAAGCGACTCGACGGAAGAAGGTCTCGTTCAAAAGCACTTCGACGAAAACGGGTCACCCTTTTGCGGTCGATGTGGAGAGTTTGATGAGGTAGTTTCATGGACAGAAGGAACATAATTCTATGGGGTGCCCAATGGAAGCCTATAGGTAGTGTGGGGTAGTTCATTGGACACCCCTTGGAGAGTCCTGGTATAAGTCTAGTGGAATAAATGTAATTTTGATGAAATCTACTCCGGCAGTGTAATCACCGTATGCTAGAGCTTTTGTGCAGGAAGCACTGAATTTGAGCTATTATACTGTCTCGTGCACACTGTAATTTGACCGGTCAAAGAATTTGATGCTCAACCAAATACGCCAAAACCCTTTACACGTTACTACATGTCCAAATTTCCTCATGCATGACTCACTAACATTTATATAGTGGTTTCCTGTCGTGTTGAACAGATGCCAGGAGTCACATGGAGGACCTGGGTGGTTTGGCTAGTCCCATCCGCCGGGGCCGTTTGTCTGTGACGTTCACCCTCCATCATGGCGATCACGCAAGCTCCGAAAAGCAATGCGGCGCCAATGTTCTTGGTTGGGAAGGCTGGGAACATCGCCACTCCCACCATCTCCGTCGCAGCCCATGTCGCTTGTATGTGTGTACTTAAACTCGGCAGGTCTCCAACCGGGTTTCCAACCAATGGGTTTTGGTCTATTTTCCTTCCAAGGGGTCTTTGGGAAGTCTCCCTACATCCATGTTTTGCTTGTATGTGTTGTTCCTACTCCGATGTGTCCCCTAAGTCTATGATTCTGAGACGAGAGCAATACGTGGGAACCAGGGATCCGATCTCCACGCGTGAAAATCTGGCATTGGAATCCAGTTTTTGTTCTAAAAGACCACAACTGACGAGGCAGAAAGTGAGTTGGTTTCGATCCGACTCATTTAACACAGCCTTCACAAACCCTCGGACAATGTCCTATGTCCCGGTGAACAGTTTCGGGGGGAATGTGACTTGGCTGGGAGAGGTCTCGAGATCTTCACCGAGTCGAGTCGAGCGCCACCGGTGATTGGAAATCATCGCTGACACGCGGAAGTGACTCCAATGACTGGGACGAGGCCGATCGGGACGCCAAACGGAAGATGGTCTGGCACTGCCTGGAGCGTTCCCGTTCACTCTGACAGTGAAGACGCGTCCGAGACCACCCGGATCTTTGATCTTCTTTCGTTTCTGAACCTGTCTCGGGCGCTCCACGAGTTACACCTGAACCCTCCGTCGTAGCAGAAAAAAGTGACAGACAAAAAAACTGCACATCATCAAAAAAAGTGTTCATGCCTTGAAAAAGCATACCACTGGAAAGTCAGATGTAGCTTCATTCCACCTTATGTGGTCTTCAAGTCCATTCCCCTGCCACATGCTGGCACCCATCCCATGCGCACACAACACACGCTCACACACTACGAGGCGGCAGCCAGCAACCCCTTTCTTTGATCATCAGTATCAACATAAAATATTTACAGTAAGTAAAATAACAATCCGCCACTTTTTAAAATTGCGCCCGGGTTGCGGGAATTTGCGCCCGGGTTGCGGGAATTTGCGCCCAAGTTGCGGGCACCCTTTTTGGAAAAATTGTTGTAAAGCACGCCCAGAAGGTTGGAACCAAACCTTTGTGGTTTCATTTGCACATACTACTAGTAGGAGGTCATATAGGATTTCCACCCGGTCCATAGGGCCCCCAAAGGCCCACAAGGGTTGATAAGGACACTGGTCAGGAACCAGTAGGCTTTAGAATTTACATCACCAAAAAGCGCTCATATGTCCTGAAAAGTGTACATACCCTCAATTAACGCTCAAACTTCCAATAAGTGCTCCAAACCATGGTTCGCCAGAAATAAGTGCTACAAAGGATGCTTCAGGCAGTCATGAAGGTTTGGCCCAAGTGGGGAGAGGCGGGAGTCCACAACTAGGATCCGCCGCTCCACCCTGAAAGTGCTCCAGTGGAATGCATCAGCCAGCCGAATGGACCAAATCTTGAGCTGTGAGTCAGAACAAGATGGCAGTGAGTTAGAAACCTGCAGCCACATACTCTGGCAGGTTGACCTCCCTGGTGGTCCATTCTGTTCATTCTGTTCAGCCGTGCTAGGTTGACCTCCCTGAGTTTCCTGGACTCACATCCCACGTAACATATCAGGCGTTTGACTCTTGCTAGCCGTTCGCAGAAAGCAGCATGTTTCTTAGCATGTCATTTACTAATCCCAGTCCCCTTCACAGGCAGATTTTATATATCAAATCTTCTTACTGTGATGGTGGGGCCTTTTGCTTGAACTATGTTGAACTCGATTCAGATCTATACTTTGCCAGAATCAGCGTTTGTTCACCAGGTTTCTATACTCCGTATTTGCCCTATCCTAAGAGGTTAACGGTTACCCTGGTTGTGTTTGTTGCATGTAACGTCGTTCTATTGTATGGTTTCCTGTTGGTGAACCACGTCCTGCACTACCCAACGCAAGCCTGATGGATTTGTTGTCCAAAACTTGAAACGAACGAGCGAGACTCGCATCACGACAGGGATGCGCTGTCATCAACCAAACCCTGCAATGCATCACCCTTCAAGTTTGACTTCAGAAGTTAATCAGTGAGTCTGAACTTCATAGTAAGGGGAGATTACTGAGGGCAAGGACACTGACCCTTACATCAAAACCACCTTTCTCAATTGCAACAAGAATCCTAGACGTGGCTCCATCGATCAGTGGTCACCAGCATGGAGTGCGGTGACTGCAATTGTTCTTGCTCTTTGTCATGTGAATGGCCTGAAAGATTTACTTGGAAGAAGAGTCTCACATAGTTTTTCAGAAGTTGTGTATGCGCAGTGTTGAAAAAACTGCTGCCAGCAAAACATACAATGCCGACATGAGCGTTTTTGTTTGATGAGGAGTCCTGAGAGGATTTGTGTTGTTCTTTGTGTTTTTTCGTTTCTTCCACGTGAGAGTCCGCACCTGAGAGACGGTGTTTTGGGTCAATGGATCAGTTGGGTGCGTATTTGATTCAGCAGATCCCCCAATCAATGAGGTTAGTATATGTTTGAGTCTATTTGTGTTTGTTGTCCAGCAGGCTCTTTGGGAAGTCTTCCTATTCATTCCTATTCTTCGAATACAGCACCAAAATAGACCGGTCAGGTGCCAGTCCCACTGGTCATGTCAATGGGATGATTTGATCAGTGGCAGGTGGTTGGCTGGTGGCTGGCCTGGCTGGCGGGTTCGGAGCACAGGCTTTACAAGTTGTGTAACACGTAGCCTGTAGCACAGTTTGTTTTTTTGTTTGAAGCCTCTTAGTACCTGTACGTAGCTGGAATCCGAGTGATTCAAGACGTGTTCTTGTAATTATGAAGTTCTTTGAGCTTTCAGGCCTTATAAAATAGTTATTTGCCGTCCTTTTGCGATCAATTTTGCTGAACCTTTTTTCGCGTCGAGAAATCAAACAGTGCCTGGCTGCCGCGTCGGGCAGTGCTTGGGTTCCTGTGTGAAGGTTGATTGAACATCAACCCCAGAGCATCCATGGAACTGGAATAATTACCTACATGGATGGGTCATACATGGGGTCAATGTATGTAACCTCCTTTTAGTCCCATTCGTTTGCTCTGGGGTAAACCAGGTTTTTGCGGGGGTTCCCCTCGACGGAGTGGGCAGGAAGAGTAGGCCTGCAAGGGCCTGGAAGTTGCTGGACTTCAAGGAGTCCTGCACTCCTACAGGTCGCCATCGGGCCTCGTTTGGGCCCGGGACCCTTGCACTTGTAGGGTACTCTCAAGTGTAGCTACAACATTGACAAAAACACAGATAAGCCCAAGACCCTGGCCCGCGTGATTTTGGGCACATCAAATTGTCTGTCCAAGAGCAGATTTGTAGATCAATCTGCATGCTGTAAAAACCAACCCCGACAGAATCGAAGTGGAGTTTATGAGCTGTTTAGGAAAATGCTCCAACCGGCAACCCAGCTAAGCGAGTCGTCCAACGTGCGTTGAGACGACTCGCTTGACACGGAATGCCCAAATGGACCTATTGGTGAATGACGATGGAGATGACATTGACCTACATTGACTTCTGAAACCATCTTCCCAAATACCCAGACACTGCCAGACACTCAGTATACATGCATATTTACATACATGGGGGTGGTTGACCTGCATCGGTACATCTATAGAGAGAGAGAGAGAGCGCCCACCACACGCAGCAAAGCAGCCCCCTGAGGCTTGGTTGGGCTTCCCAATCACTGCCGCGCGCTTGGTTTGCTGGAGAGCGCCCGGTTTTGGGTCGTGAACAATTGAATTCAATCAAGGACTGCTGAAGTTAATGACCCACTAAACTCATCCCTACAGGTCAGTTTGACCTCATTTTCCTGAAGGTGATCATAGAAAGATCCTTATCATGAGGTCAGTTAGACATAGTACCAGGTTTGGGTCCGGGACCTGTACGTGTGCAGCAACCAAAAACAACGTCCCAATGCAGAACGAAAGGACCGAGCTTTGGGAGAAAGGTCCTTTTGGGCTCACCAGACTCGGCCGACTCCTCCCCAGGAAAGCGCCCGAGACGACGGACATGTCCAAAAATGTCCGACTCCACCTGGGATTTGCCAGAGAAAATGGCACCGAACACCCACCAAACCATGGGAGGTTGACCTCCCGAACAAGGAATCTGTTCAGCAGGGTGCTGGGATCATGACCCGGGGTGCTTGGGAGCGAAACGAAAGGCGGCACGCGCACGCCTCCGTGGCTCCGGTCCTTTGCCGTCAGGGCAGCGTTTGCCGCTTACATCAGCAGCACGACCTGGATGACAAGGGAGCTTTGCAGCTCGGAGTGTGTGGTTTGGTCCAACAGGACGGACCCAAAAAAGAACGCCGCTCGCTTTTTGCCTGCATCCTTCGACCATGTGAAAGAAATTGGAAAGGACCTGTGTTTTTTGGTGTAACATCCTGGGAAACTTGGGTTCGCCCTTGTTTCCCATTCGCTGCGCGATCCCTCCTCGAATGTCAAAAAGTGGTTTGCTCCTTGAGGAACCTAGACAGCCGAGAGTGCTATCTTCTAAGCCTTTACAAGTGTACCACATGCCAGTTGGCTAAGATAAGCCTTTTGGCGAGATAAGCCTTTGAAAGTGCATGCTCAACACTGATGTTCGGCTTGCAACTGAGATCCATGTCTATAGTAAATATGTGTGAAACTTCCGCCCTATATTGGACAATTTTTTTGGACTTTTTTCCTTTTTGACTGGCGGGGTTCTGTCAGGAACCATTGGTGCAAACACATGGGCAACCTGCGTTCCAGGGGAGGCCACCGCTATTAGGTTGGAGAGCACCTCAAGTAGGGTGGAGGCCACCGCTATTAGGTTGGAGTGCACCTCAAGTAGGGTGGAGGCCACCGCTATTAGGTTGGAGTGCTGCTGCTGAAAGTTTACTCGCCGTCCTCTTGCCGCTTTGTAGGTAGCAGGCCATGGGGCGCTGCAATTGTTTCAGCAACTCCTGTTAAAACATGTTCTATTGACGGTCCATTTTTTGGCACACAGGCCCCAAGGTTTCTGTGCAATTGTCACCATGTAGGCCTGCACCATATATCATGATGACTCTCACGCAATGTTTGCGGCGAATAGGTTACACATGGATACACACAAACTTAATCTCTTGCGCCGCAAGAGCTGTGGACGGTGGGTTGCGCGATCCCGGCTCATGTGGCGACAGCTTTCGCTGTTCCAATCTTCGAGCAGTTCGAGGAGGTGCCACCGCCTCCGCTACCAGATTCAGAGTGTGCAAGCATGCAGTTGCAAACATTGAGCCAGTTAGGTGCAACGATTGTTTTGTGATGCGTAGTGGATTGTTGTGGCATGTCATGTTCAGTGTGAGCGCTCCACGCAGCACTTTTGCGTTGGGGCGTGCGAAGTTTTTCCCTCGCTTGATCGACCATGGCGCTTCACCAAGTGAAGCCCAACAAGAAGAAGCTCTCAAAGAGGCCCAAGAGCTGGAGGAAGAAGCGCGGTGTCAAGTTTGGGTCCATCAAATCTTTCAAGGTCTCTGTGAATGAGCTGCACCCACATCTTTCGAGCCTGTCCCCCAGCATGGTTTGAGACTCCTTTCATTTCCTTTCAACAGGTGGTGTCGGAGTTGAGTTGTGATGTTTTTACATATGGGTGCCGGGGCTATCCAAAGGAGGTGCTACCGAATGTTTTGTACCCGGAGAAGTTTGGGCAAAAGAGTTTCTGGGAAAGCTTTGTTTTTGGTTGTTTCTTCGCTAGGTCTCTAGATCACCAATTGAATACATTCAAGACACATATTACAAAGACCCTCACAGAAGAACTTCTGACGTTCATGGGTTCATGGGATATAGCCATCCTGAAGGGTTCCCGTCTTTGTCCCAACTGAGGCTGACACTTTTGATCTCCGGCGGGATGCCATATGTGTTGGTCAGCCTCTTTGCCACCGTGTTTCATTCGATGACCTCGCCAACGATTGCCTTTCAGCTGGGTTGGTGTTGAGTTGTAAGAGTCCAGTCAACACATAGACAACACAATAGACATGTAATTGTGGTGCAAACACATTTAGTGTTTGAACAACTATTGATAGCCTTTGGGGTTCCAACTTCATCTCAGGGCCTGCACTCCGTTGAGTTGTTCGCTGGGTGCAAGTCTATCACTATGGGTTTCAGGCGTGTTCATCGCATGAAACAGTTTGGTCGAGTGTATGAAGCACAGAGCATCTGAGCACTCAATCATATTCAAACCTTTGATCATGCACAAACGAGAAAACAATAACACACACAGATTAGAAAACTCATGTGCTTCGAACTCGACAGCTCCGCACTCTGCTATGCACACTGCGGCAGGTCGCTGGGCTATGCTTGCGCGAGCTTTGAGCTGAATGACAACCCAATCTCGCAGGACATCATGTCTGGACTTGGACACTCGGTGTTGAAATTCAATGCGTGTGTAGAAGAGAAGTAGGAGTGAGTGAAGGTAAGTATAGCCCAGCCCATCCTTCCAGCGATCACTTCCGGCTGTCGTGAGGCTACGCGTATGCAATTGCACTTTGCGCCAGGCTTGTTCGCTCTGAGACTTAGCCCGAAAACAACCCATGATGTAAAGGTCAGTAAGAAACCAAAGAAACAATGTCTTGACAGCGAAGCAGCTAAGTCTAAGTAAACTACTTGGTCAAAGATAGCCTCCAACTGAGGGTGGACTATGCTGGCTGGCACCGGTTTGCTCGAGCTGGGTTTGGGTGAACAGGCTTGCCTAAAATCCAAGTTTGAACCAGTTGTCCTAATATGTCCTAATACATCTTGATCTGTTGGAGCCGCTATCTACCCAACTGCGCATCGGGATTCATCGCTCAGGGGCAGTAGCCTTCGAAGCCGAGAAGAGCCACTGGGAGACTGCTCCAGGGAGTTTGTATCCATTGCGACCCTGAACTGCAATATGTATGACAAATCACTCGAAGTCATTTATATAAGTACTGCTGATTCACATGACATGGTTTCTTCCAAACATTGATGTCATCTAGGAACAGTTGGTGTTTCCACATGAAGCGGCAGGCGTTTCGATCTTTCCCACCTGTTATGCTCGGATCAAAGGCCTGTCTCGGTGTTACAGGTCCAGGCACCCGTTCACTGAGCTTCCACACCATGTCCGCCAGTGATGCAGTCGTTCCTTTCACCGCCAGCTCGGATGAGCATGAGCCGGAGCTTGGTGGGGAGTGGGATTGGCAGTCATGCCATCCGGATGAGGGTGAAGCAAAGTTTGTTGCTGCACTCCAAAAGCTAGGGATTGATTTGGCTAAAGCAGTCCCAGTTTCGATTCAAGAAGAAGCGATCTACAAGCGGGAGCCTACGTCAGATCTCCTTCGTGGGAAGTTTACAAAGACACCAACAAAGGAGCGTCTTCTGAATCTCAGCGTCATTCTTTCTTAATTTGTCGACCGTGCATATGGGTTGAAGAGTTTTTTGTCAAAAGTGTTTATTGAAGGTACTCAGGGGTCCTTTGCCGGGCAGTTGACATCTTAGGATTCGCAACTTCTGGGCCCTTCACTGCCTGCTCAAGTTCTCGGCTTTCCAAACGAGAAAGCCGAGCAAGGCAGAGCTGGAGATCGTGCTCTCTGCTTTCAACGAACACTATCAGGCACTAAGAAACTATGTTTGCCCACCTGATTGTTTTTGTACTTCCAAAGCCCATTCGCTCTCCACACCCATCTTGTGCCCGTGTGCAGGGCCTTGCTTTCCGAACCATCGAAGAGCTTGACGTGGAACCTTGGCGTGTGCTGTCAAGGGTCATGAACACGAATCAAGGGTTGATACATGAATGCCTGCAAAATAAGGAGCAGGATGCCATGATTGAAAGCAACATCGCGAAGCTCCAAAAACTTTGGAGCGGTCTCAGGAGGACACAAATCTCTTCTACTGCAATTCTTTGACGTGTTTTAGGTCAGGCTTGGACTAGCACCAGGTTGAATTTAGGCCCAAGTGAGTGTTGGTTCAAAACATGATATTGGGTGCACTTGTATGTTTGCAGGAAGTGGCAAAATGCCAAACACTCCAGCGGATCTCCGTGGGTGCAGGTGTTAAAGGATTTGATGAAGAATTATTCGTCGTCCAACTCGCCTGACCTTGAAGCAGAGACGGAACGGCTTGGTGGTTCTTCTGATCACTCCAATGCAGGGAGTTCTGATAGTGACCCTATCCCAGACGACTTCATGGGCATCAAGGACCGTCCCTTGCACGAAGGCAGCTCATCTCCAGGGTCTGACACTTGAAGTGAATCAGTTGCAAGTGCACTCTTCAATTACATAGTGGTCCCCAAGAAGATAGAAAAGTAGATCCACCATTACTATATATTGGATACGCTTCTATCTTCCTATCTTCTTTAGCAGTATGAGCTATTGTGTACCATTGTTTATGGGAGCAGGATGGAAGGATTTGATGTGCATCGCTCAGGATGTGAGCAGTGATGTGTGGAGTCGAGTCATGGTGAGGGGGGAGGCCAGTCAGAATGAGGATGAGGGCACTCGAGAGCATGTACCTGCTCCACAGCACCGTCCAAATCGTCCTTGCTTTTCTGATGAGGACATGTGCAAAACCGGGGCATGTACGTGGGTAAAGATATGATATCGGGGTCACACCAACAGGTATCAGGAAAAGGTCAGTCTCAGGGTTCAGAACGATTGCAGTCTTTTGCAACCTGAAGTTCAATCTCCCAGCTTCCAACCCTGCCACGCGCTCAACCAGGAGTCCAGCAACGATGATGGTGAAGATCTCGAGGCTGTGTCACCTGTGAATGTTGAGGGCCAAAGGAGAAAGCGGAGATCGAAGGGGAAAGGGGGTCAGAAGAAGAGGGCCAAAACAGCAGCTTCCAAAAAAACACCTTCCCCTCCCCCAGCTCCGCCAGCTGCACTAGTGCCAGCTGAAGTTGGGTCACGTGAGAATGAGGGGGATGTCATTAATTCTTTTGATGCGGCCTATGTGGACATCATCAAGGGTCTCCCCGAGATCTTGCAGCCTACAAGTACTCGACATGGAAAACATTCGTACACAGTGTATCTTAGCTGAGTGGTCCTTTCAAGCAAGTACACTGTCTGTGCACTTTACTCAATGTATGCTAGTGAGTGGTGATGACTCCAAGTACCTCCAACCAATCCCAACCCATCGATCAGAAGCTAGCTTAGGTATGCTTCCAAAAAAGGCCGTGTGGAGGTCTTGTTGCGGCAGCGCGCCTTGAAACCAAAGAGTGATGATAAGGGCGAGCTCCTGAAAGCCAACTCGACGCTTTGTTCTATGTTTAATTTGCACGAATCAACACCTCCCAGTAAAACAC